ACACACATTGATTTACTTCATGTTTTGACTACTGCTATGACCAGCTGCAAAGCTGGTAACAGAGACGTCTCGGTTGATGTTTCTGTGTAGTATGGGGCTAGCCCAACCGAGGGGATATAATGTACAGGCCTGGTGGGTTCAGGGTCTTTCATCTGCCTGCGTGCAGGTTGGAGGTGCAAGATACCTGAGCGTGTAATGTTAATTTTTACCTGTGTTCATGGAATAAATCAGCACTGTTTTGTAGTTACTTGGACTGCCTCGTCTCTCAGTATGGTAAAAAGTACCGGATACAACAAGGCAACCAGTTTTATGAAATACACAGAGGTCGCAGCCAAAGAATACTATTGTTTCATTAAATTTACCTCTCAAGACTCAAGATTTTTATTTGTCATTTATGCATAAACAGACAGTCTAGGCATATAGGAATTCTTGTGCAGGTCTCTTGGAGTCCGGTAAAGAGCTAAAAGCTAGAAAAAAAAACTACCTCTGCTTTATTACCCTCTGTTATATTACATGTAAATGTGCTGCTGTGTTTTTGTTTTTTTGCCGGGATACCTGCTGCTGTTGGTCATTTGCAATACTATCATGCCTGATATGTTGTTTGCACCTCATCACCAACGTCCTGGTGATGCTGAAGTTCGTATTGTGAGTGTAAGCAAGTTACAATGTGGTATTCTTAGAACATGAGAGATCTAATGTTACCAGAACCTTTCAAATAAAATATTCTCAATGTTATAACAAAACATTCTTGCAACGCTTTAACCAACTGTTACCATAGCTTTTTAGTGGGAGGTTTTCCAACACATTCTTTGCTTGGTGCTTTTGTTTTTGCTCACTATTCCGGTTCCACTTAGCCTCACCCACTCTGAAATCATCACACATTACTTTCAACTGTCCCTCATTATCTCCCGTTCAGTCATTCTCCTTCCTTCCCTCAGTTTAATGTCACAGCGTTTCCTCATACTAATAATAGACACAGTCAGACACATTGTACTGACTGTGACCACAGATTGTGAACTAAATTGCATTGCGTATGAATAAACATATAAGCACATTACATAGCCATAGCATTCTGTAAATAAAGGGAAATGTATCAAATGTGCATTAAACATGCTTGCTGCATGCCCACTCTGTAAATATGGGAACTATGTAATGTGTTATTGTATTAACACTGACAGCTTAATGATAAACTATTTGCCCAGTCCCAAAGTCCTCACATCATGCATTGAGTTAAAAATTAACTTGGAGTAGAGGGTGATGGTCATGAAGGTGAGTCAGAAGATTTGATTTGCTGCCTCCTTTCACACCATTGTTTAGTTCTGCATGCTCTGCAGACAGGGTAGCAGTTAGGCCTCACTCAGGACTCTTGTAAAAATCAAAATAAGCCCACATTTAGGACTTTTCCCCCTTTATTTATTCAGGGTAGGTCCACTGAGAGGCCGCCTCTCTACTGATAGGGACGCCCACCTTCAGTTGTGCAATCACACCTGGAAACAACCAGTACAATCAGCTCTTGTTGATCTTGGATAGTATTTTACCTTTCAGCGGGGGCCTTTTTCCAAAATGCACTAAGCAATCACAGTTTTTCATGAGATTTAAAAACTGAAGCAGTAATACGAACCGTCTGAAGTTTTACAGACACATTTTACCTTTACCTCAGTTTTTACAGTGTGTGACATTTCGGTTTAAGCCTTCCTCAGTGTCCTTTAAGTGTGAAAATACAGTCAGGGAAAAAATTATTTGAACCCCAGCTGATTTTGTAAGTTTGCCCACTAACAAAGAAATAATCAGTCTACAATTTCAATGGTAGGTTTATGTGAACAGTGAGAGACACAACAATAACAAAAAAAAAACCAGAAAAATGCATTACAAAAAAGTGAAAGAAACATAATTAAAAATAAATAATAAAGGTGCATCTTCTTTAAACATCTAATCCAATATAAATTTTATCAAGCCCAAATAACTGATATAGTTATTGTGAAGGCCTATGGCACATCCTTTGACCCCTCAACTTACATCCAGCCAATAGGGTGTCACTCAGACATCAATGTAGGTGTCGGTGTGTCAAACTGGAGAACCTAATAGCTGGTGGTTAATACAAAATTATGGACAGTACATCACAGAAGGACAAGCTGGACACATGGGAGAAATATGGTGTGGCTACAGACAGTGAGAACAACATTAGCTGTTACCGTCCTGTAATCTGCCTGTTCTGCCTTGCCCTTGTTAGTGCTGTAAATTGCTGGTCTCATCTGGTTTTGACTCCTGAGCTCATTACCTGCTATTGGATTTGGACACCATCTGCCTGTGTCTCTGCCCTCTCTCAGTTTCTGTATTTCTGTTTTGTTTCTGAATTCCGTAATAAAGCAATTGCACATTCAAAATACCGTACTTAGAAAGAATTAAAGAAACAAATACAAAAAAATGAACTGAACATATGAAATACAATATAAATAGCTTACATAAAGTACCTATTAATACTCCCAAAATAAAAAGTGTAAACAAGTGACATTAACTTAAAAATACAATATAAATACGGCACTGTGCAAAATAAGATA